ATCCTATTTACAAACACCATTAGAACAAATCATTCTATTCATTAAGAGAATGTAACTATATATCTATCCAAACCACTTTGAATATACAGATACATTCATCTGTATACCCTTTCTTTGTTAAGTTCCGTTATTTGAATATTATAGGTCTGTAAACTCAGCAAAATATTCTAAAAGAGTCCTGTAGCCCATAATAGTAGTGGGTTGGACAAATACTTGTAGAATGTGTACTAACCATCATCTCCATGTTCATGGTTGTGAATTCAGTGATGGATACAACCTGTAAGTACTGGTTTTCATTAAGTAGTGTGTAATGGCACAAGTGGTGTCTTATTATTATTTGAGAAAGATAATTGTTCATCTGTAAGATAATAGGTAGACTTTGACCATGTCTCCGTTGCCCTAACTCAATTGTTGACCCAATACAAGCATTTGGAGCACTTTTTAGGCATTGTTTTAAAGAATTTAGCTGTATTTTTTTTTTTTTTAATCTTACTGGTCGAGGGTTGGGTAAGTCCTATAATTGAATAAATCCCTGTAATTTTGCATCCTCCCTACTCCAGACTGGACCACAAAGCAAATGTAAACTTCAACTAACAAGGTAGGAAATGTAGGACTTGGAAGTGAAGGAAGAAAAAAACAACGTGCCAGGCTGCTAAAAGGAGGACGAGTAGAGTTTTATTTTAAATTTGGTTTAAACGGTGATTATGATGTTGGACTAGATGCTATACTGAGGGTAATGCTTGCTGCTTAAAAGGACTGTAATACTTTGTCACTCCAAATGTTTCAACGGTTGCTATTTTAGAGCAGCCAGCCTCTGTGGCGGGAGGCTCCGTGCGGTTGTGCAGGCCCGTGAGTAGTTCCCTCTCTCCATCTGGCAGTGCACCAGTAGCTCCTCTTCCTCAGTTAGGACAATCAGACATGTCCCTGACCACTTCCAAATGTGCGCTGGGAAGAAGACAAAATTGTTTCCTGTTGAGAATTGCTGCCTTAACAGCTTGGAAAACTTTCTGGGTGGTAGAAGTTCCATCAGTGTACAGAGAAAATCTAAAAGAACTGAATGAAGCGAAACCAAATCTCTGTCTATAAATAGCATATGCACACATATGTATAGAAACATATCTGACTTATTATCCATCATCAACTATTTATTAAATTAATTAGGAATACATGTGTAACCACTTCTATGTGAGCAGAGTAAATGAGCCTTCACCCTAAAAATGTTGGGATTCACTGCTCTAGGGTGAGTTTCTTACCTACTGTCCCTGGAAGAGTAGGTTATACAGACACTCTACATTCTGAGTCATGGAAATAAGGAAAAAGCACTACAACCCAGGGCCCTGGGGCGGGTGTGTGTGTGTAGATTTGGACAGTGTCCATGTCTTCCAGGGAGCTCTACAAATGCTGTCATTTTCCCTGAGCATCTTCCATTGTTTGAAAAGCACTGATTTCAGACTGTGCTCTCTATACTTAAACAAGCAAAAGTTGCATTCAGAGGAACATACCTATTCAGGTTTGTCTTGCATTTGTATGGTTGGAAGAATTACTCTGAGTGTTTTAATATACTGTGTCCACATGGAATCCAGTCAGCTTTCGTTCTGTGGATGCTGACTTGGCTGACCTGCTTCAGCTCTTATCGTGAGTTTCTATCCGGGGTCTAGTGTTGGAAACTAAAGCCCCACCAGACACTCTTTAAGAAACTATGGCTCAGAGCAGATTTGGTTTCCAGCCCCTTAGGAACTGAATGGAGCAGCCAAAATGTTTACAGGTTACCTAAGGTATTGTCCTCTATTTCTGCTCACTTCAAAATCTTGCCATTTGCAATGGCAGAATCTAAAAAAATACTACGTAAATCAAGGTATTTTTCCTGGCAGTCTGGAGCTAGTAAAAATGATGTGATTAAAAAGCATTTTACAAATTAAAATATATGCATATGATGTATACAGAGTATAAATTCTAGATTATGAAAATAATTATGCAGTGAGTTATATCATTTCGGAAGCCCCTAGGTATTCTGGTGATAGCTTTTTTAATTAGATAAATATATATGTATATTATATTGCTTTCAATGCCACCATCTGGCTCCACATGTGAGAAATATCTGCAAGGTGCGTTGGCTTTTTAAAGGAAATGGAAATATGTTGTTCAGTGTTTTATCTTACTACCTTCTCACGCGTCTTGAGAAGCTAGCGTAGTCTTGGATATGATAACAGTTTTTAACTTAGCCAAACTCTCCAAAGTTGCCTCTAATGATGCATTTCTTGGAGACAGACTAGCACACCACCTTCCACTTGATGATGCCATAAATAATTATTCTCAGATGAGAAGTCAAAGGACCAGGCATTTGCCATCATTCATTCCGTTCTGGTTGGTCTGAGGAGAGTTACGCAGAGGTGAAGTGAACGCGTGACTACAACGTATGGCATGGTTTTATTAACTAAAAAATATCATAGATAAAAATAAGAATGTAAGAAACACATGACTATAAACCCAGGTCCATCACTGGGACCCTGAAAGCAGCAGTAAAGGTCATTGAATATTGTGGTTTACAAAACTGAGTTTTCACAGCCAAACTTATAAAACAGTTTATGCTTTTCTGTTGTCAAGGGAGAAAACTTGCCAAATTGTTCTTTTAAGTAAATACAACATAACCAATTAAGGAAAGCAAAATTTAAACACATGCCTATGATAATCAGGACATACTTCGCTTCTGATTTCACTACTGATCTTCGCAGACCAGTGTTCCTTCCATTTTCCCACAGCACCCGGGTGACCCCACACATACTTTTAGAAACTTGTAATCACACAGTGCAAATAAAAGGACACTTTACTGGAAAATACACAGTGTGGTACAATAATCCATCATTTATGAAAAATAGGATTCAGCCTTTTCTTTTTCCTCTGAGATTCAACTACTTTTTGAGGGTGAAGCTCCCTGCAGTTTAAAGATTTATGTTAAGCCAATGAGCAGGATTTTTTTTTCCCATTCCCATTTAAACTTTTTATTTGAAAGTGAAAGGAGCTGAAAAAGATATGGGTTTAAATTCCAAAGCATTTAATCTGATTTACATAGGAGATCGGAGGAATAGCTCTTAATTCTATATTTTCACCTCCGTGTACAGTTAACCCAAACTGTACTAGCTTCCTAGGTTTTCTAGAATTTTCTTACATTTCCTTTATGTTTTTCTCTTCTTTTTTTTTTTTTCCTATTGCTGAGTGTTCTCTTCTCTCAAGACCAAACAGAGTATTTTTCAAAGGGTAAGAATCTTGAATAACACTATGCAATTTAAGTCTTAATACACACAGGCCAAAGGTATTAGATTTAAGCAATTCTCTTAAAGTTGAGAGATTTAATTGGTGCTCAGGCTGCTCTCAGCAGATGCGAGTTAGAATCTGGGCTTCCTAAAACGTGAGGTTAGTGGGCTTTCTAAGATGATCTTCAGCTAATAGCATTACATATGAGAATAGGCATTAGCCCAAACACATTTTGTACCTTACACAGCTACTAGGAGGTTAAAACCACGTCTGGAGGCAGGAATGCTTATTGTAACACATTCCCCGTATGTGCTTGTTTCCCCACACTTAGGACCAGAGGGGAAGCCACTTGGTCTGGATGATGAACATCTCCTACCATTCTATTAAGGGTATGGGAAACACAAAGGAAAACCCCCAAATCTTCCAGAATTCTACAGTTTGGTTAATATGAGAGCCAGAACCTTCCTTGCTGGGGACCTTCTTTTGAAATACCCCTTTTCCTGCCAAACTGCTGTTCTTGAGGTATGACCATGTTACAATAACATGTGGCTGTTGATGGTATTATTATTATTTTAATTTGGAAATTCTGAGAGAGCTAACATTTTAGAAATGCTGCCAGGAAACAGCAACGCCACTCCTCTTCAGGAATGTTACAATCAGCTTTCTAGACCC